GTAGAATTTGTTTATTTTTTCTTTGATTTGTTTCCTAAAAAGAAGAGAAATAAAAACTGATGTCTTTATTTAACCTAATCTGTTATTAGTTATTTACTTTTAGTTATATAAGTCATATACATAATTTGATTAAATAATAACCCAATTTGAAGCAAAAACAAAGTTCTGACTAGCTTTGTTAAATTATACTATATGCCTGAACGAAGCAAACAGCAGAAGCTCTGAATGAGATGCAGATTCTCTCTCTTACAGCAGGAGGCGCTTCTGGAACACCAGATACAGTGTTTCTTTGGTTACCACTGTAAACAAAGCAGCAATGCGCTGAAACACTGCTTTAATATGAACTATACAGAAACGAGATGAAAAGAAAATACCACATAAACTTTTCTGAAGACAGTCAGTTCCCCTCAGAAACACGTTCATATAAACCCCCAAATCAATATTGAGGATTTTCTTCCAATAGTCCGTGCATCATGAACAGTGAGTGAACGAAGTCCAGAACAGAGACGAGTTGCTTGCAATAAGACAAAAAACGGCCAGTTGCCGATCGCGTAAGTCCAGGGACAGCTCCTTAAAGGGGTCATATGATGCGATTTTAATTTTTCCTTTCAAAGCTCTTGGTGCATAAAGAAGATCTGTAAAGTTGCAAAGACTAAGTCTCAAATCCAAAGAGATATTCTTTATTAAAGTTAAGAGTCAACCACGCCTACCTAAAACGGCTTGTTCTAACACCCCCCCTATCTTAGCCAAAACTGGCCCAGATATGCTTTAGGATAACTGGGCCATATTTGTGGCATCATATGCGGGCCACTTTAGACTCACAGCCACATTCGCCAGTGCTTACCATGCCATATATTGGCTAAAACTGGCCCAGATATGTTTGAGGATAACTGGGCCACATTTGTGGCATCATATGTAGGCCACTTTAGGCTCACAGCCACATTAGCCAATGCTCACTGTGCCATATCTTTGCCAAAACTGGCCCAGATACGTTTTAGTGTACCTGGGTCACATTTGCTGAAACATATGTGGACCACATTTGGTTTACACCTTGATTAGCCTTTGTCGATAATGCCACATTTTTGCCAAAGGTGGCCCACATTTGGTTGGCACTATTTGGGCCATAATCACTGTTTACCACATGGGCAACTTTAGGATCACATTCAGATTACACATTGCCGTCAACACTGCATCTTTACCTAAAGAGGCCCACATGTGATTTGATACATTTGGGCCATTTTTGCTGTTTTACATATGGCCCACATCCGCATGCTATCTGGGTGTGAACCGATTGTTCACCTTCTGCTAGTAAAACACATACAGAAAATATATCATCATAATCTTGTCTATTTGCTTTCATATTTCATGTATAGAAAAATGTTTCTCTAATTTTTTTTTTCATTCGGAATGGCAGGAGATATTCCATGATTGACAGATCTTGAGTGAACACGCTCTGACTTATAACACTCGTGCACGTGGAAGAAAACGAACAGTGCTCTTCAGATCACACAAAACAGTGGAGAATGATATTTTGTATAAAGAACGTGAGAATAAATCTATTTTCAGATACCAATGATAACAAAAACTCAACATCCTTTTCTCTCTCAGGATATTCTTTTTCGGTGTTTGTTTGGCCTGTTTCGTCGCAGAGCGACAGGGGAAAAATCTAAACAAAGGACGAAAAAAAAATCCTCCTACAATTTAAGTTTCTAGGTGGTATTCATGTGTTCTGTTAACGAGCTGAACTAGTTGATCATTCATTTACTGAGTTTTAGTTTGTGATCTGGTTTGGTGTTAAATGTACTGGTGGTAGATATATTTCTTTCAGTTTTCAGATATCTATACTGATATTTAGGGGAATCCTTTAAAAATCTTGTGCTCATGTAATAACTATTTTGAACACTACACTCAAAAATTTTATGGCATAGGCTAATGAATTTACAATGATGAGTGATTTACATTTCAGCACTTCATGAACAGACAGCATATTAAGCACGTTCACACCTTAATGAAGACCATTTTTGGGATACGCACGTAGAAAAGAAACAAACGTTTGTAAATTCCCATACAGAAAACAATTTTTATAAGCTAGATACTTCGGGAAACACGCTGGAATAAAACGGACAAACATTGATTACCCTGTTCATTTCTACAGAAGCGTTCATCAACGAGATTTGTCCCAGTGCTCCCGATGGCCAATCCGGGCCTGTGGAGCAATCATACAGTAGGCCTGGGCTACATTATGCAGTCTACATTATAATGGTGTGAAAACAAATAGTCTAGTTTAAATTGATTTCAAGGGCTAATAATGTGAGTCCTAATACCTTTGAAAATTTACTGGTTTTGATAATTAGTGTCACTAGGGGTATGGTTCCCCCTCTATTGAGAAACACTGCTCTAGTGTAGCCCAAGTTATGCAGAAACTCCCGTTATAATCAGTGAAGCTGTGAAATGAATCTCTTATTTACTTCATATCTACACTTGGTTGTTTTTAAAGAGAGAATTTGTGAGCTCGCAGATGTCAATCATTGAGTTTTCAGCACTGAATCGATACACATCTGATTGGATTTAGTTTATTGCATTCATAAGCTCAACTGAAACGTGTGTAATTTACCCTTCTCAAAAACCCACCCTCCTTAGTTACTGTTGCTATGTCCGACAAGCCATGCCGCTCTCACGCTACACATCATGTTCTCACACATAGAAAAATACATTACGAAGCAAAGAGGAAACTGACAACACACTGACAGACAAGACCGAGCAGGTTACTTCTGGCATGAATCATGGTCTCAGCTAGGCATGGGCCGGTATGAGATTTTGACGGTATAACCTTAAGCAAAAATATCACGGTTTCACGGTATCACGGTATTGTCGTTACAGCTCTAAAATGTATTATTTTTAAATGACGGTAAAAAAAAAAAAACCTTTTTTCCGCTGAACTCAATATATTTTGTTTTTGAGCAACATACAGAATATTAGGAACAGTAGAATTTGTTTATTTTTTCTTTGATTTGTTTCCTAAAAAGAAGAGAAATAAAAACTGATGTCTTTATTTAACCTAATCTGTTATTAGTTATTTACTTTTAGTTATATAATTCATATACATATAATTTATATAATTTCATATAATTTAGTTATATAATGTCATATACATAATTTGATTAAATAATAACCCAATTTGAAGCAAAAACAAAGTTCTGACTAGCTTTGTTAAATTATACTATATGCCTGAACGAAGCAAACAGCAGAAGCTCTGAATGAGATGCAGATTCTCTCTCTTACAGCAGGAGGCGCTTCTGGAACACCAGATACAGTGTTTCTTTGGTTACCACTGTAAACAAAGCAGCAATGCGCTGAAACACTGCTTTAATATGAACTATACAGAAACGAGATGAAAAGAAAATACCACATAAACTTTTCTGAAGACAGTCAGTTCCCCTCAGAAACACGTTCATATAAACCCCCAAATCAATATTGAGGATTTTCTTCCAATAGTCCGTGCATCATGAACAGTGAGTGAACGAAGTCCAGAACAGAGACGAGTTGCTTGCAATAAGACAAAAAACGGCCAGTTGCCGATCGCGTAAGTCCAGGGACAGCTCCTTAAAGGGGTCATATGATGCGATTTTAATTTTTCCTTTCAAAGCTCTTGGTGCATAAAGAAGATCTGTAAAGTTGCAAAGACTAAGTCTCAAATCCAAAGAGATATGATCATATGACCCCTTTAAGTTCGGCCATCCTATCCTACGTGACGGACCTCTCGCTCGCTCGCACCAACAGGAGGAGGGGGGGGGGGTCATGTTACTCTCTACACTGCACCTAACCTGAGGGATTCCTACACTTTCAGTCTTTGAGGAGACATGAAAAACAGCGCATACCGCAGGAATGGTATAACGGAAAATATTAGTGGTTTTGAAACCGTGACATTTTCAAATCGCGGTATACCTTGAAACCGGTTATTGGCCCATGCCTAGTCTCAGCTTTCAAATGTCATTTTTTAAAGAAATTCAAACAATACAGTTTTGTGGCTCTTTAATGTGTCGTGGCAAATCATTGCATGGCCTCAGTTCAAGCAAACTGATCGTCTTTTCATATTTACTTAAAGCACGAAATTAAAAGTTTCTAGGTATAAGTGAACAAAGGAGAAATCTGCTAGAGAAGCTATATAGAGTGACCAACAATACTTTTGGAGAAGCTAAAAAAATTACTGTAGCATAGGCCCCAAGAACAAGGGCAAATTAACATACAAATATATTGTATTAAAATCAGTAAATTGTTTGTACTTTTATTTATTTGTTTGTATACTTGATTTATTATTTATGATGGCTGTTACACTTTTTATTTCCAATGTTTAAAGAGGTGTGTGTCAAGGCTGCAAAAGACTTTCCTAAAGACCTCCTGCAGTATTTTGATCCAGTTCAGTTGGAAGACAAAGTGACATGTGTGACTAAATGTCATATAGATCATCCTCATCCAAAAACATGCAGGAACAGCGGCACCTGTGAAGTTACTAGAAAAGGCCCATCCTGCTTGCATGTACTTTCATTTATCTATATTCTTTAAGATTTTTTAGTCTTCTCTGACAGAGGCACCTCTTTAGGGGATGTGATGGTTAAAGATCTAGACTGGAAAGGTCTGTCCCCATCATAAGTGTACTGTTACTTTAAATAAGAACATCTGCCAAATGACTAGCTTGAATACAGAAGTATATTTCTGTGTAATCAATGTCAATCAGGATAAAATATTTCATGTGATCAAGAAATATTGGTGCAAGACCAGTCCAAGCGACTGGAATGGTCTAAAAAATGAAACAAAAGCAATAGTAACAAACATGTGCAGATATTTCTCAGAAAATGTAAAAACACTTATAATGCTTTTTTCCTCTAGTTGCCTCCATACTGGCAGCCATAGCAGTATTAACTGTAGCATTCCTGACAGCTTTTCTCGTAATAAACAAACAGACAGTGAAGAGGTAATTCATTGCATACATCTTTATCAAACTGTTTAAGTTCAGCAAAGTTCACGGGAGGTCTGGTGTCTCGAGATCATGCCAAAGCATTTTAATCAGGTTGAGGTCAGGACTCTGACTTGGCCACTCCAGAAGGCATATTTTCTTCTGCAGAATAATTCACTCCTGTGCTTTGGGTTGTTATCCCGTATAGCATCAGTCGACATCTGTCGATCATCAGTGAGTGGACAGATGAACTTCATGTTAAATTGGAAAATTCATGTTTCTGTTGATGACATTGAGCTGTTCAGTCCCTGTGAACACAAGATCATTGCAGTATCATTATGTTCTGATGGATTTGCAGACAAACATAACGGATTTGTTTCAATGGCCGGAAAAAAGAATCAGAAAATACAGTTTGTTTGGACTCTGCTATTAGTTTGATCATTTTCTAATATCATTTGTCTGTTTAGCTATACCACTGAATATGAGGGCTACGATCCTGCTATTAAATCTGTGTGCAATCGAAAATTTCCTGACAGCCCCCCACCTAAAAATCTTTGATTATGTGATCTCTCAGGTTTACTGAAAACAGCATATTCTCTTATTTAAATGTTTATATCAATGTGTATTGGGAAAAAGATGATGTTCTTGCAATAAAATGCATTTTTATGTCTTCCTGTCCACAACTAATTTCTTTGTCATACAGGTATCAGGACATTAAGCAAGAACTAGTCAAAGAATGTTTAGAGGATGACTTTGAGTGGCCACCAAAAAAGAAAACATCATACACGGGTAAATATATTGTCTGCATCATTCAACAATTGTTGCCTGTAGATAGTAACTTAATATTTGTATCATCCACCAAATTATTGTTTGCTTTATGCATTTTATGCTAAAAATGTTATTTCAGTAAATAAGATAAAACACTTGATTTTAATCTGAATTAATAAGTAAACACTCAATTATTTTATACCTATAATGCATTCTGAACTATATGGGGAATTAAAGAATTAGACTGACACATTTAGTGCACTATTTATGGAACAGAGAGTGATTTTGAATGCAGAATATTATTCCGAACAGCAAAAATATCCTTAAACAACTAAGTAATATCAAAAATGTTAAATGTAGGAATGTCTGCTGAACATTGCACTATTCCTGGCTGTGTGTAGCAGCGTAACTAGAGTAGTGGAAAAGTTTTGTTTCAAGATGCCTGATCATAACACTTTGCAAGGCACATTTCAGTGTGGATTATTTTGTGGTCCTGTGGTGTAAAACAGACTTTGCAAAGAGAGAAGGGTGGGGCAGTTAAACTATATTGAGACCAGACAGTCCGTGTGCGAACACTTTCATTTCACATGTAAAGATGCACAGTAGCAGAACAAATAAAATAAAAATAAATTATGTGACTTCATTTCTTAAGAGTTTCTAGGCGAGTTAGAAACCCTGTGTTTTCATTTTGATACAATAAGAGCATTGTGGGCTGATCTAAAATAAAGCTACGCTGTGTATAAAATACTTTTTCCCTCACATAATCTACTTTTCCTGTTTAACAAGTCTCTGATTAGTCACGAATCCGGTTCAAGAACTTTCCAATTCATTGACTCTCGCACTACACACTGTTGCACATCTCCCTCACATAATCTACTTTTCCTGTTTAACAAGTCTCTGATTAGTCACGAATCCGGTTCATGAACTTTCCAATTCATTGACTCTCGCACTACACACTGTTGCACATCACCCCGGACTACATTTCCCATCATGCATTGCACTGATTGCACTCAGCACGAATTGCACACACCTGTTTACACTGATTGCACCCAGCTGTTTCATATCACTCCCTCACTATTTAACACTCACTCTGATCCCTTCCCTCTGCCGAGTATTGTTTCAGCGTTTATCACTCTCCTAGAGATAGCTACCTTACGGAGCCCTTGTCATTGCCTTAGCCTTAGTCATTAGCCTTAGCCTTAGCCCTAGTCTTAGCTTTAGCCCTAGCCTAGCTGTTTTCCCGGTTTCTGATCTTCGCCTGGTTTCCTGGATTTCTCCCTTAGTCTTGCCCCTTCTGACTCTGTCTGCCCATCGTCGACCCACGCTAGCCCTAGGACTGTTCTTGTGTCTTGCCCACCATATACCTGTCTGCCTCCGTTTAACCCTGCCTGCTTCATGACCACGTCTCTGTCTTCTCCACAATAAAGCCTTGCAGATGGATCCGCACGTCTCACGTCTCGTCAGTTCTGTAACAATACCTCTTTTATATTCTCAGCTGACAGATATGATAATCCGGTATACTCACCGGAAGGGATACATAAGCAGGGAAGTTTCGAAATATATAAACCAGATTTATCTTCGGATCGATCTTACACCCAGAAACTCTCACCTGAACCTAATATTCATCTCCGGTATCTTCAGAGGGATCAGTCTGTGAGTACTGAGAGGATATATACACTCAGCAGCATATGTTGTTCTTGCAAACAGTATTTCTACTCTCAACAATAGCTTTGATCTAGTTGATAAAGGACACATTTTAATTATTGAGCCCTTTTACTACACTACATTTCCATATGAAGGTACCTGTTACAAAATAGCCAATGATTTTTACAGTTACATTACTTGGAATGGAATAACAGTATTTTAACATCATTACCGTCATGTTCTTTGATAATTACACATTATTTGTTTTGCTCATAACAGATGAGAGTGGACAGACCTCAGATCCGGACATCTTTTGATATTTAAGTGTGATCTTCTAAGTGCATAGAAACACAAGCAGGATGGCTATGTATGATATTGAATGTATCTGTAGCTTTTTTCTTTAAAAATATTTAGTCTTTATGTAACAAAACTCAAATCAGTTGTGAGAGTTATATTTGTACCATAAAATCTACTATTGTAGTACAATTGTTCATATTTTCTGTATCTCATTTTTACAGGCTTTACTTTATATTAGTGCTACTTCACGTTTTATTATTGTTAGTCTTAATGTCACATTGCATCGATATAAATAGTTTTTTTTAAATTACATATTAACAACAAATTATTTATTTTATTACCATTACACAAGATGTTGTTTGTAAATTAGCACTTGCTTATGTTAAAATAAATTATCTATATTCTCAATTGCTTTAGTTGTCGTCTTTTTCACTGTAAATTCACTCAAAATTCAACCAAATACATTTTTTC